GGGGACACGGCGGGTAGTCCCGAGCGGCCAAGATAGCTCGATCTTGCCCGCTCGGGTAGCCAATCACAGCGCAGGATTTGATTCATCTTGCCCGCTCGCGGAGCTAGCTATATAATAAAGTGAGCTACTTGGTAACCTTTTAACTACAGTATGAAGAGTGTTATGGAGGCAGAATGCAATATATTACCCTGCTTCTTATTTTACTGTACAAGATTGATGTCAACCTTATTTTTTCTCCTTAAAAATGTGCGTCAGGGAGACAGTGGTGGACCGTTTGTATGCAAAGAGGGTGGGAAATTTGTTCTGCGAGGTGCCGTTAGCTGGGGACACTCCCAATGCAGGACTGATCATTATACAGTGTTCGCTCGTATAAGCAGTTTTATTGGATGGATCAACCAGAAGAAGTCAGGTACTTTAATAAATTTCGGTAAAAATTCTCCTCTTTTACCATTACAGAGCTCTAGAAATAACTATGTACAAAAAGAACAGTAAGCGATTTGTCACAAAACATAAACGTGATTTTTAAAATCGTTTAATAAGTAATTCTATTAACATGTATCTTTGTACATATTGGCAAAAGTTACTGGATGGCATTGCATTTACATTGTTGTGTCAACATTGATTTAGAGTTCGATCACATTTATATCCAAAATGCACAAGTCCGGATTTCATTTTGAGACGATCAGATTTAAGTAATTATACTTTTTCTCATTTCCTGAGCTCTTATAGCTCAGGAGCGATTGTTTCTGCACTGATTTCAGTTATAGAATTCCTTAGATCCCAGCACAACTTTACGAGTTTATAATAGTGTTCGACTCCCTAAAGGAATAAACAAAAAGTAAACCAACAAGGCATACGATAAATGTCCAAGCAAATGAAAGGAAACGAAAATGAAACGTATACAGTAACTGTGGTCACTACGGATACTAAAAACTAATCAGCACGAATGAATGTCAACATAACATAGTCTTCGGCTTTCGTTGTTGTCCTATATAATGCTCAATTTAACGGCAAATAGTGAAAAAAAATATATATTGTTCACATTTTACAAACCTCGCTCCCAAGAGGGCAGACAAGAAAAAAACAATGTCTCCTGACTTGAGTTGTACCCAGTTCATCCCAAGCGCTCAAGGCGTGAAACAGTGGTGTTATTGTCCAGTTTTGGCCGAAAAAAGAAAAGAAAAAGAAAAAGAAAACACTTTGTGTTTTTGTTTTAGGTGGTGGAGGTGGCGGAGGAGGTCAGTAAAAGCGATTTTATCTTGTTATCCCCTCTCTCGAGTTGGTTCTAGTAATATTGATAACAAGAATTATTTAAGGCAACAGTCGAGCTATTTTTGCTAAAGACTCAAGTAAAACGGCTTTCAGTAAAGCCAGGGATTAAGGGGGCTTGATTACTTGAACGATTTCAAGTTTAACCCCTACAGACTAAGAGAGACAGTTACACTGAACAAGCATCCCCTGTTACCCTCTTACGATCCTGGGCAACGAGGTTATTTACTTTCATTGAGTAGCAGGTGGTAATTGCACAATCTTACTTTCTAGTAATGTATGGAAAGTGCTTGACTGTCTCCTGATTCTTGCATAATCCCAATCTATTGTACTCCAACCAATCTACCTTTACCCTTGAGTGACCTAGACATGTGCTAATATAATGTAACAACTAAGAGCACTTTTGGGCTTTTCTCGACCTAAAGCCGCCTGGCCTGATTCGTTTTGCGCACTAGGTCTACGTTTACATGCTTTCAGTGCTGACTGTTTTATCCATGCTTTTAGGTTGTATAGACAAACACCCAAATTGTCGGCAATGGACGAGGTATTGCAGCTGGCATCCATTTGTCCAGGCAAACTGCCGGAAAACATGCCGCCGCTGCTAATTTAAAATGTAAGCTCACACACGGAAGACAGGCTCGATTAACGGAGTATAATTTTCAATTATCCATCATGAGTTCCTGTTAACTTTACCTACTTAACTGTTTAGTAAAATTTTATCAGATCGAGTTTTATTGTCTGTTTCCCTTATTTGTGGTATGTGTGTAATTGCGACTGTTTTTTCTTTTTTTTTTTCTTCTCTTTCGTTCTCTCACTCTGTCTCATCTTAGGTTGAAGCGGAAAATGAACAAGAAGAGGACTAGTGTAGTTGTTGTTGTAGTAAATAAAGCATTATAAACGAATAATTCGTTAACTGCTTCTTCTCACTATCACGACGAATTTTATTGTTTGTTTTTCTTTTTTTGGAAATCCCACCTCCTGAAACATCCACCTTTCAGATATAAAAAAGCATATTCCCCAGTAAAAATGGGGGTCGTACTCCTTCCGTGCAAGGCGGGTGATATTGTGAGATACTCAGCATATTTCTGCTGTCAAAACAAATAATCTTTTAATTGTTGGTGAGGCGATTACACAGCTAAGTCTCCAAATTTTAATAAGACCGAAAACTACGCCTTAAAAATAAAGTTTACTCAAAGACCCTCACTCTCGAAAGTGTCACGATGAAATAGGCCCTTCGCGCGATCCGGTCACATGGTACAAAATCACACATGCTTGTGAGCAAGTTGCACAGCGGGACTTCCAAAACAATGCCACTCGTACCAGTCCACCTGGACCTGCCTTTGTTTTGGAAGTCCCACTGCGGAACTTCCTTACCAGCATGTGATCGTGCAAAAGGCCTATCCTGAACTATTGTATAAACAATTCAATAAGTCCCCTTACATTATCATTTCTGAGTCATTTTTGTTTGTCTTCTGAAGTTTTGTAAAATCAACCGACACGGAGTTGAAAGTGCACGAGCTGCACTATGAAAATGCGCTAATTGCACGCGTTGGACCTTCCTTTCAAAAACTTTTCCAGCCTCGCCCGTAGTTTTTAGAGGGAAAATGTTATGAAGCCCGGCAAACAACAAAGGAGCAAACAAAGATGCTAAGATCTACAATCTTTTGCACATTCGTTTGTTTTTTGCTCATACACTATACATGAATTACGTAACCAACACGTTTCTATTGGTTAGTTCCTCAGTGCGGAGTAAACAACTATTGTTTTGAGCACGTTCAAGGACAAAAAAGCGAACAAAAACCAAAAAAAGAAGTTTGTCGAATTTTATAACCATTTCCCTCTATTAACTACGACTCGCCAAACAAGCAGGAACAATAAGAAATTATCAAAAACAGGTTTAGGCTATGTTTAAGCAGTGTTTGAGAAACGCACAAATTAACGCGATACCAGAGTATTCACAGCGCGAAATTGAAGTCTTGTTTGCGACCTTGAAAAGCTCACCTTTTCCATTAGCCCAGATCATAAAATGCACGAAAGAAGTCGCCATCATCAATTCATGTTGTCGAATTTCTTTACAAATCACTGGCTACAGACGGGAAATAATCTTCTCATAGGAGACTCCAGTCTCTTACATCACACCTTTTTGCTCGGATCGCTCTAGAATCCGTCCTACATATAAGCTCCCTGGTTCTTATTCCCTGCCATCGCTGTAAAAATTGGTAAGAGAATCTCGTTACTCCCGTCATTTGATCACGCAACATGACAACATCCACGGGAGAACCCCCGACATGTGCTTGGATTTGCTCGGATATATGTCGTCAGGGTAGCGAACTTTGTTCTAAAAATACTAATAGTGTCCCATATCATGGGTGCGAGAGTTGTAGTCTCCGTCACCGATTATGGCTCCTGATGAAAGCTGGTTACCTACTGAGGTTTTACGACTTAAATTTGACATTTGCTCAAGTCAACTGGCCACTGGTTTGAGGCAAAAGGTATAACGTTTTCTGTTCAGCAGACGATTCATAAAGATAGCTTTCATTGATGAAGAATTTACTTGACAAGCTAAGTGCAAAAAACAAAAAAACAAAAAACAAAAAACAAACAAAAGCAAAAACAAAAAAAAAAAACTGTCCAAAAGTAGGTAGGGAGAACATAATTCTCTTATTCATTTTTTTTTTTCTTGATCAAAGCAAGTTTTGATCATGGCACCGGAATAGGTCAGTTATTGTCGGGCCCTATCAAATTTTAACAAGGAGCTAGGAAGAGCTCTATTTTTAATCAAGGCGCAGAATGCCATTCCAATCACGCGGAAGCCTGAACTCACTGATACCACTTCCTCTTTCAATATCCCGGTTGATTGCAGACTGGTTGGAGGATTAGACTAATGGAAACTATGCCCAGCCATTTTAAATGTCATCGCTGGACTTCTAGCTAGCTAATGCATTTTATACTGATTACGGCATTGTACAATTTTTAAGTACTTAAAGCGGCTAATTTTGGTCTTATCAACTGAACTGAACAGTCATTGAATTTCTTTAAAATTTATGAGTTCACTTCCTCGAACTTATTAATAATTCCTCAAGTTTAGCAAACGAAATAATGAACGTAGCGGTGTTGGGATAACTGATCTTAAAACATAAATTGTACGATTTTATTTCTCCGTTTTCTCCTTAGTTTTAACTTCGATTGAGAAAATATATCAAACAAGAAATACAGTGTTTGAGCACATTTCCAAACATTTCGAAGTTTGTCAAAACTACTCCGCGTCGCGTGCTATTTTCAACTCTCTTTTCGGTGTTTGGCAATGTGGTCTGGTGTCCTGTGGACATCCAGGGCTATGAACAGTGGTCACATGACCAAGCGAGTGCATGTGCATGTGTGTACGAGCGTGCGTTTGAAGTGAGACTTTGTGTTGCTCGAGTTATTGACCTTAGTGGCTTCTAGAAATATTACAACAGTCTTTTGTGTTTGATATATCACGTAAAGGTTTTTCGGTAAACCCCATAATCACCTACAGACAAGTTGGTGGCTCTTCAGGCTAAGCATTCTCATAATTACGTACGGGCAGAAAGAAGTTGAGCAATTCACCCATATCTGAATTGAAATCTCGTATTCTGCCTATCACCACTAAATTTCGCTCTTTTAGACAAAGCGCGCAATTGTGCTCAATCATGTTGCGCACATCCCGAAATTATCAAAATCAAACCACTGTATATCATTTCCAAATATCATTTTCCACCGACATACTTGTCGCCATCCATCGGCCAAATTTTAAGCAAGCATTTTTTTTTCTGCTATTGGTACAAGATACATTTTGTGCATACATTATTTGCTTAATGTTTGTTGATGTATCTTTTCTTTAGTTAAATTTCTTGGTCAATATTTTGACCTAAAAATTCACAGGTGAGCGTAAAGTTTGGTAAAAACATGATTATGTCTTTTGGCTAAAACTTAAACTTTACCATTCTTGTGAAAAGAAATGTGAAAATGAAAAATTTCAATTGAAAATAGGTTATGATATCCCTACATCAAACCTACGTTAGACGAACAGACATAAAGCTGTCCCAGGTGTTGTTCTTTCGTTGTCACGTAAATATACCTTTAATCACGTTTTTTATTAAATATTGAAATAGCCTAGACAGTTAAAAAATTTGAGCCATGAAAAAGAAAAATGACCGGGTATTTGAATGTATAAAGGCCTGAGATTTAAAAGCAATTTATCGGTCTTTTGTAGTGAGATATCGTGTAATCGCTATTAAGGTTGCGAAGAATGGAAATTAATAAGGATTTGGTTATGCGTAAATAAGCAAAAACTAACGATAGAACCGACTTTTCGATGTCTTCATGACGCATTTGTATTCCTTATTTTTCAGTACCTTGACAAAGGCGTCATGAAGACACCGAAACTTTCAATTCGGTTTTTATTGTTAGTGTATGCTTTTTTTGATAATAAAAATAACAAATGTATTGCTAATGACATGATTGACTCAAGCATTACTTATTAAAAGAAAGAAAAAAAAAACGTATCTTATTTTTAGTGTCTTATAAAAGAAAAACATATTTAATATTATAAACGGAATCAAAAGATCTAGTTAACTCTTGCAAAAATCAGTGTATGCAATACATCAGAGATTTTTAGGGGGAAGAATTCAAGAGGGAGAGAGATATAAAAGAGAGAATCACTAAAAATTAAAGGGATTTACTAATGGTTGATCAAACAATGAACATTCGCTTTACTCAGACATTTAGTTGCATCGTGGTGCTAGGCGGTTCACACTAATTAAAAAAAAAATAATATTGATTGAAATGTATCCAGCTGAAGGTACAACATCAGGCAAACCAGGACTTTGGAGACGGTCGTTTAAATACTGATTAAATTCCCTTTCATTCGAGATTTTAATGCAGAACGTTCATTGCTCAGTCAAAATTTCTGAGCCGCCTCTAGAAAAGGGCATTTTCATTCCAGCTTCATCTTGTCCTTATCAAGCACTAGCGGGGAGCTTCAGGAAGAAATTTCCACAAAAGCTCATATACAAGTGAACATAGGTGAAAAGCGTCCTTGGACATCTGAATCATCAAATAATATAAACCATAATTTAAAGTTTATAACTTTATAGAAAGGAAGCGAGAAACTGTTTGGATAGGATGCCCAGCTGCGCTAAGGCTAATAAAACACAAGAATTCATAAAAGAAAGTGCTAAGCATAGCTGGTCACCAAAATTGGAGATTATTTTTTCAAGATGAATCTCTGGATCGGAGTCACTCTTTTACTGCTTGGAGTTTCGTACTCTCAAGGTAAGATTCTGTGCTACCATTTATATGACGATTCTTCCATTTTTGCTCAAAATTGCTTTGTTACTGTAAAGTTCTGAAAGTAAAGATATTTCACAAGTTTTTTCCGAGTTCTTCTTACGAGTTCAATTTTATTCAATTGATACTTTTGGTCTTTCGAGGGTACATACTGTTTAAGGCGTTATGTAAAACATTTCTGAAGTACTTCAAAATTTCGTGCAGTCTTCATGCAATGTTGTTAGTATAAGAAGTTGCATCGTCGCATAAGCAACCATGAAATGGTATAAACTACAGTTTAGTCAAGTTTAGTTAAGGAATCTTGAAATGATTCAGTTCAGAACACGCGTGTAGACTGGCTTTCTAAAGGAAATATTTCACCGAGATACGACCTTTATTTCAGACTGCGGAAAACGACCTTTTACAAGCAGGGTAGTGAATGGCGAAGATGCCCAGGCCCATTCCTGGCCTTGGCAAATTTCTCTCAGAGTCAACGGTCGCCACATCTGTGGAGGATCACTTATTGACGGAGACTGGGTTGTCACTGCGGCTCATTGCGTGGAAAATAATCCCTATCCAAGTGGCTACACTGTCGTTGTGGGTGAGTTTTGTGCTTGTAAGCTCTGTTAGTACTGCGGTTTTTACATACCTATCGAATGACGGGTCACCTATTGCAAGGGAGCAGCAAATGAATAAATTAAAATGTTTAGCTAGAGAGGAAGCCACATTAGCGTAAGCTGGTGGTTGCTGTTTATGGAGGGAGGAAAACTAAGGCACTCCGAGAACACTAGGCTCAAGGCGAGGACCAACAGCAAACTATAGCTAAACCGACTTATGCATGCTGCAGGGTTGAAATCGATCCCGGCAGGAGGTGAGTGCTCTGCGCCATCCCTGCCGCCCCATCCCCCCTACATTTTATTGCCTAAGGGTCGATTAAGCATCTTTTGTATTTCGTGCCGTCATTGACGCACTCCGTACATTTTTAAAACTTGTCGCAGGTCCTGCGGTCGCACGCTTCTATTTGTATTTGTTTTGTTTTGTTTTGTTTTCGTTCCTTTTTGGTTGTTTGTTTCTCTGCTTATTTGTTTTTTTACTTTTCGCTTTTTTTTAAATTCAACCCATGACTAGTAAAGGTCACTTTATTCACTTTTCCACTGACAGGAGCCCATCGCCGTACTGGAACAACGGCTGTGCAGCGGACCTTCCGCTTGAAGAAACTATTCAAACACGAAGGTTTCAACATGAGGCAGCTTCGTAACGATATAGCACTTCTTCAGCTTGAGGGATCCATAACAACAAGTGAAAAAGTGAATACTGTTTGCTTGCCAGCTTCAGGAAGCAGGATTCCGGCAGGAACACATTGCTACATCACAGGTTGCTTATGAATCTAAATTTTGTTGTTGTTGTTGTTGTTCCTGTTGTTGTTGTTGTTGTTCCTGTTGTTGTTTTATTATGGTATAAACTTTTTCCGCATATGATAGCGATCGTGGAACTTTGAATTCCCGCTTACCCGGCCACGGTTCGTTTTTTTTTTTTTTTTTTTT